TCTTTGTTTTGGTAAAAAAAAAAAAGAAAAAAAAAATAAAAGAGGCTTTTATGTGGGATTTTGCCTTTGTACTTTTTCCATTTATTGTAATTATTGCCGTTACACACATAGGAAATAATATTGAAAAATATCTTTAAATCTTGAAACTTGAAAGTAGTGGAGATGGTACTTGGGTAAATTGAAATGATAGAGATTCTATGATTGGTCTTATATAAAGCTCTTTAATTGTATGAAATGGTGTGTGTGCAGGACACACTGTATCTGCACCATGGGAAGCAATATTTAAGGGATTGCTATATTGAGGGAAGTGTGGACTTCATTTTTGGTAATAGCACTGCTCTTTTGGAGCATTGTCATATACACTGCAAAGCTGATGGATTCATTACAGCCCAGAGCAGGAAATCTTCCCAGGAGACCACCGGATATGTATTTTTGAGGTCCGTCGTTTTATATATTTAATTTTGCCTATTAGCCATGATATGAATTTTCAAAGAGAGCATCATATTGTAGTAGATTATGTTTTTGTCCAACCTTCCCCCCCTCGTTTCTCCCAAAACCCAAAAGAATAAACGAAAAAGAGTAAGAGAACAAATAAATTTAACCAGCACATTTGCACCATAAGTCAATTTATTGAAAAGTGCTTTCGTGCAACACATTTTTTAGCATAGATGGAGCACTGTCGATTTGTGAAGGATAATTATTACTAAAACATAGGCTATATATCTCCAGCTTAGCTCTACCAACTATTCTGTACGTGTTGATGCAGGTGTGTGATCACTGGTCATGGAGGAACAGATTACGCGCATCTCGGACGGCCGTGGGGACCTTTTGGAAGGGTAGTCTTTGCATACACATATATGGACGCTTGTATTAAGCATTGTGGCTGGCATAACTGGGGAAATGCTGAGAACGAAAGAAGTGCTTGCTTTTATGAGTACAGGTAAAAGCTTTCGTATTAAGATTTATTTATGTAAAGGAGACAGTATCGAGCAAATTTGCCCAGTATTTTACAGTAGAACTGTAGTAAGAACAAATATTTATCCTAATTGCAATGCACTTGTGTTTTGTAGAAGAAACTGCTCAATCTGTGTGTTGAGGAAATATTTTGCTTCAACATCTTGCTAGGATAGCTTAAAAAACTATGACGAGCTTTAGTGTATNAAAAAAAAAAAATAAAAATAGAATCTTGGAATCTTTTGAAAATTAAAGCAAACCCAGAGAGTGTTGCAAACACTGTACGAGGCTGTATTTAGTTGACAAAAATTATGTGAGTGGATGAATAATAATTTAAAGTTGTTATGTGATTATATAAAAATGATTGATTAGTATCACTTATCTGTATATATAAAATTTCTGTTCGGGCTTTGGTCTGAGAAAAAGTTGAAACAATTGCAGGTGCTTCGGGCCAGGTAGTAATCCATCTAAGCGCGTAACGTGGGCCAGGGAGCTGGTAGATGAAGAAGCTGAGCAGTTTCTTGCACATAATTTTGTGGACCCCAATCAAGAGCGTCCGTGGCTTGCTCATAAGATGGCTGTGAGGATACCATATTCGGCTTAGGATACATGAAAGAACCAACGGGCTGAACAATGGGACAAAGTATACATCTTCTTATCTATCCTTAGTTTATTTCACAAAATAAGGAAANTATTATTATTATTATTATTATTATTATTATTATTATTCCCATCAAAAGCTTCATTTCATTTTCAAAATATACAGACAATATATTGATAATTAATGATTTTACGAACACTTATGCTCACATAAATTACTCGTTTTACAATTTTTGCATAGCTATTTTTTCTCTATGTATTTTTGTATCAGTTTTGCTCTAAATATTAGCTTACTCATATTTTAACTTCCAATATTCTTCATTTTCCATCATTACTTAATTTTATTACTATTCTTTTAACAAGACGAATATTTAAAAGATTACTACTACTTCATTCTTTAACAAGACGAATATTCTTTTACGTTGAAAAAAAATTACTACTACTTCATTCTTTAAAAGAAAAATTGACTAATATTGATTCATTATTATAGGCCTAGGAAGCACTAAATACTACAAATTATATGCTTTTCGTCCTCATTTTATGCGTCTGTGCAAAATGCAATTCTGACAAGAGAAGAAAAATAACAAGAAAATATAAAATAAATATATAATAAATTAAGTTTTTCTGAAGTACAGTGTAATTTGAAATGCTCCCCTAGTTGAAATGATCAGTAATATTCATAATTCATAAAATAATAAAGAAAGCCCGGAAAATGACAAAAAAAAAAAAGGGAACAGTAATAAAATAGAAAGTTACGCAAAAAAGAGGTGGAGATGCGGGGGATCGAACCCCGTGCCTCTCGCATGCAAAGCGAGCGCTCTACCATTTGAGCTACATCCCCAGTTGGAAATTTTTACTACCATTTCAATTACGTTTACTAAACGGAAAAAAAATAATAACACAGTACCGCACGTCCGTACCTCATCCGCCGGGGTCGACGGCTCCCTCCACCGCAAGGTCCTATCAAAGAAGCAAAGGGATGCCGACGGCGAGATCCCGGCGTTTTCGGGTCTCTATCCAGTCCGTTACTGAGAAAAAAAATCCAATCTTTTTCAAATCTTGAGGTTTCAAATGGATTCGTTCGACTGTAATCATATTATCATATCAGTGAAGTTCCATCTGAAATTATATATTTTTTCCTTCTCATTCCGACGACTTCTCACACAATTGCGAGTATATAATTCGAGAAGGTAGACGTAAAAAGGAAAATGCACAACAGAATACCAATCAAATCAATCCTGAGTTAGTAGTACAAATAAAAACCTCTCTAAAAACTGTATCAAAGCTCGTATATATTCCTCGTTTCATCACCAATAATCAGAACAAGAACAAACACCATCCTTAAACGAGTGAAACCGATTCCGATCCCTAACAACAATCTCCCGTACGTACACTCTCGACGCCACCTTCATTGCCGAGTGACAATCCCTGCAAATCCTCAAGTTCTTGAAAATATACAGCCGGCGCCCAGCTTTCGTGCTCATCAAACCGAAACACAAAGCCAACTTCTCCCCGTGAAACAAAACCGCTAATTCCCTTTCCTCACCCGAACCCGATAAAATCTGGGCCGTAGGATCGGGCACATACCCCGCCAATTTCAACTCCATAATCATCTCGTCAAGCATCGAATATATCTCGTTTATCCGCGAATGTAATTTATCCCCCGCGCTAAAATGGTGTGCTTGCCCATTTATATAAATCGTGCTTATCCCGGGCACTTTTCGAATTCCCCTTTCTCGAAGGTCCTTTCGGAAAAAATTAGCTCGACCCAAATCTCCCGATCGAGCATACATGTTTGCTACCAACACGTGGTGATCAGTGTTTTCCGGATGCACTTGGGCCAATTCTTGCACGAGTTCGTGTTGATTTTGAGCACTACTTGCCGATAATAGTGCCCCCAACACAACCTCGTTCGGCTTCATCGGCATTTCTCGTATTATACTCTCGGCCTCGGCTAAATTTCCCGAACGCGCCAAGAGATCGACAAAACACGCGTAGTTTTCCATCGTGGGCTTTTCGAGGGCCCGGAAAAATTCACGGCCCGTTTCTACAAGTCCGGAATGGCTACATGCGGTTAAAACGGCCGTGAAGGTGATGTCGTTCGGTTTGGCTTCTCTCGACATTTTATCGAACATTGATAAAACCGTGGGGCCTTTTCCGTGCATGGCTAGGCCGGAAAGAATAGCATTCCACGTGACGATGTTTCTTGTTTTCATGGAGTTGAAAACGCGAACGGCGGTTTGAATTCGGCCACATTTCGCGTACATGTCGAGTAAGGTTGTGCCGAGTTTTACTTCGGTTGGGATATCGAAATTTGATTTTATAGCGTATGAATGTACCCATTTTCCGAAAAGGGAATCTCCCGATTGCGTGCAGGCCGATAGCAACGAGCAGAGGGAAGAAGATGAATTTAATTGGAGCCCGAGACCGAAAATCATTTCGGAGAGAAGCCCGAAAGCTTCACGAGTGAGCCCGTTTTCGATGTGTCTCGCGATGATTATAGTCCAAGCGATTTCGTTTCTTTCAGGCATTTGATCGAACAGGTTGTTTGCACTCTGTAAACCCTCCCATTTAGCCACCCCCCACAACAGGACGGTCCAGGAAACTATGGTCCGCAAATTCGTTTCGGTAAAGAGAGATTTGGCGTGGCTCATGAGGCCGCATTTGACGTACATATCTATGGCGGAGTTTCGGGCCTTGACGGCGGACCCCAGGCCCGATTTCACCATAAAGCCGTGGCATTGAATCCCGAACGAGCTGTTTCCGATCTTCGCGCAGGTGCTGAACGGAGAGACCATGGCGACGCCGTCTATCGGAACCCCAATCCTCCGCATGCCGGCGAACAGGCGGAGGGCGTCTGCGGGGGACCCGTCGCGGGCGTGGCAGTCCATTAGGGCAGTCCAGTCGGCGGCGTCTTTGTGGGAGATGGGGATTCGGTCGAAGACTCTGCGGGCGGAGGGAAGTTGGCCGCAGGCGGCGTACATGTGGAGGACGGCGTTGGCGAGGTACAGCTGCGGAAGAGAGAGAAGGCCGGCGGTGACGGCGGCGGCGTGGAGAGTTTGGCCGGCTTGGAGGGACGAGCGACGGGCGCATGATCTTAAGAGAGAGCGGTAATGGCGGGCGAGGGAGGAGGCGGTGGTGCAGTCGGCCGGCCATCTCATAATTTTACTGCCCAAGATTTGAGCTTTTTGTAAGGCACAACAGAAAGAGAAGTCATTTCACACAGTTCAATCAGAACATTTCAACATGGCTAACAAAGGGACTAAAACCGACCCAGTCGACCCGATATTGACTTAGTCGACCCGACCCAGGCTTTAACCTAACCCGGTCAACATTTTTTTTTTAAATAAATTATGTGTACATATTTAGGTGGTGAAATAGTATGACATAGATACAATATTATTAAGACTTTTTGAGATATAAAATTTACATATAAATTTTTTATTTTTATTATTTTATGTATTTTTGTATAAGATAAAAATTGGTATATTATATATATGTATATAATTTTAAAACTGAACGAATCCGATAATCGGTGTCGTGGAACCCTTCTTCTTATAGAAAGAAGCATCCCTGCATTCGTATTTGCTACTTCAACATTCCTTGGAATGTTATCTTTGTACACGCTATTTGGCTTTTATGGGGAGGAATTGCAATCTCAATTACATCGACCCAACAAAAAAAACGAAGCGCAGTTCAGTTACCGAAACATTACTTTCAACATGTTTTCAGTATAATATCTTTATTTTTTTTTGCAATAATCATTTTTTAAATAACAACGTGCAACTAATTATAAACAAAATTTCCAATTACAAATTATTGAAGATTAGAAAGGAAAACATAAAGAATCATAGGAGCCGGATTTCGCCTGTTTTTCCAGCAACTTATCCAATTCTTCACTCGAAAAAAACACTTCCAACTGCAAAAACGGATTTATATTCTTCACGTGCAAAAACGGATCTATATTCTTCACATGCAAAAACGATTTCGTATTCACATACGTATTCATTCATAATTCTGTAAAATTTTGTATTCACTTCTAATTGAAAAGATTCACATAAAATATAATATAAAAAGTAACTAATTTTCCTTTATTTTTTAATTAGAGAAAAAAAAAAAACAAATGAAAATATATTCTATTGCACCCTAATTTAGCAGCACAGCAAGGTACATAAGACTATTATTAATTTCACATAATCATGCATGCCATCCTGCAAAATGCATCTACATAAAGTCATAAACTAGCAAAAACTTGAAAAGGGGTTTACCAGATTTTCTAAATCCATAATAAACCACATAAAAGTGAGTTACAACTTGCCGATGAAAAGGCTGGCGAAACGAGTACCGGAAGAAGATTTCTACTCGGCATGAACCCTAAAAGAGACTTAGCTCATTGGCCGAAAACAATTATGTACAACATTTTAACCGCTAAAACGAAATGTAGTCCGAATAAAATCATGACGAAAAAAAAACAAAAAAAAAAAAGAAAAAAAAACTAAACTTTCAGAGTACGCGAAGCTGAGCAAGGAAAGCTGCACAGAGCTCGAGAAAGAGGAACTGCGGCCCCTGCACTCTTTGCAGATCGAGCAAGTATTTCTCTTCACGAGTCTTGTAAAGCTGGAAAAATAAAAACAATAAATATTCAAAACATATAATAATAATTATTATTAATAAAATGTGTGATTATTACCTGCAATTCGAACTTCACGACACTTTGGGGCCTAACATTGGCTTCATTCTCAATAATAACAGAATCGCCTCCGAAAAAATTATTGTCGTGCATAGCATTGTTATTAAGTAACCCTTCGTGCTGACCGGGATTTGCAGGAGTCCATTTGCATTTCATGTTGTAGTGCCCAATCTTTTTCCAGTAAACGTTCAGTTCTTGCAGAGCTTTGAGGACTTCAGTCATTATCTCGCGCGGGTGGGCCCGGGACTATAAAAGAAAAAAAAATGAATGGGCATAATAAAAGTATAAGTAGATAAAAAAAATGAATAAATGTCATAGTTTTTTTTTTTTATATTGTATTTTAAGGTAATGGCATTTGAGTTGAAAGTATATCATATATATTTGTTGGAAGAGCATGGTTGTGTAACCATTAGGCAGTCTAACAGAAAACCGACCAATTTGTAAAACAAATACAAACCATGAGGGAGTCATAAGCTAATGCTTGTTTACAGATTTTTTTGGTTTTGATTGGTTTATTTGGTTAACTGTGATTAAGTTTTAAAAAGTTGGTTGGGTTAAATTTGAGTGAGATTTTGAATTTATATTAAAATAAATTGATTAAAGTTGATTTGATGTATAAGTAAGAGAAAGGAGATTGGAAGTGATGGTTAGTTCAAATTATGTGAGTGAATGAATAGTAAATTAAAGATGATGTGATGCGTAAAAATGATTCATTGGTATTATTTAATTTTATTGATAATATTGAGAATAATAGGTGTTGACTTAAAATTGAGTTAGATCTGAGTTGAAATTGGATGTTTTTGGAAAAAAAATTATAAACAAGCAAACACAGTAATTTTATAACATCTATTTTTGTATAAGTATTGAAATGCAGACATAAATGTAATCAGATTTGAACCCCAAACCCTAAACCCCAAATCTGATTACATTTATGTCTGCATTTCATAATTAACTCAGCATTGAAATGCAAACATAAATGTAATCAGATTTGAACCCCAAAATAGCAAACATACACAACTAAACATTTTCAAATATCATCAGACTAACTCTATTTTTCAGGAGATACTTCCCAATAACTCAAATGCAGCATACATATCATTTATTTATTTATTTATTTTTATCGGTATATGTAGAATATCATTATTGGTTTAGAATAAAAACAGATAACTAACCTGAAGTCCGAGTGCCCATTTACGGTCTGCTGGAATTTGCCTTCCTCCAAATTGTTGATAATCAATTACCCCAGAAAACCGTTGCCCACCAGGAGATAATAAAGTCTCGTTTTGAGTCATGCGGTTAAACCCAAGATCCTGAATATTGAGAATTATTGATACCAACGATTTTCTTGATAAATTTATGGGATATAGTATATAATGTATCTTGCATATTTTACCTTTTTATTCGAAAAGAACATTTTACATGCATCCCCTTGAGGGATGGGGTGTATTTACTTTAACAAATAAACCTTCTTCCGTGTATTAGTTTGAAANTAATAAAATAATTGAACCTAGTAATAAATTTTTTTAAAAAAAAGTATAGCTTTATTCTTTGACAAAATATAACGATGATTTTTACCATAGTCTCCTGGAATTCAGATCCAAGATAGCCATTAGAAACGCGAAAACGATTATCCAGCAGCAGATAGTATGTAACAGTACCCTGAAAAACGGTCACGGTGTCAAAAAAAAATCCAATATCATTCATTTCAACACTAAAACTATGAAATAACAATAAAAACAAAAGTTCACCTCGTTCTGAACCCTATTCCGAAGAGATTCAACGAGAGCATTCCTATCGAATCCCATCTTAATCACTTCTTGAAGAATATCTTCATCAATCTAAACATGAAGAAACAGAACTTCGTTTAAGTAAGGTATTTTATTTACTTGGCACAAAATGATATAAATGATTTCCATCCAGAAACAGAAAATTTATCCCACGAGGACTGTACCAATAGAAATACCAAAACAAGAAAGAAAAAGATGGTTATATATATGTAAAAATCAAGATATTACATTGCAAAACAATTTTAAAAAAAAAAAAAAAAAGAGGAGAGAGAAAGAGACCTTTTTAGCTTGTTGGGTTGTATCTGGTGGTGGCACAGCTAAATACCGAGGGAGATGAGATGCGAACCAGGGGTGGGCTCGAACCTCAGGAATAGTCATCCTTTTCATTGGATCAACTATAAGCATTCGAGGAATTAAATCTCTTGCACTAGCTGATAAATGACTCGGGAGTGTATATATACCACCCTAGAAGGAAAAAAAAAATCGAGAGGGAATGACATTAAATATTTTCAAAAATATGTAAATGTTACATTTTTTTTTCGCTCGAAAAATTATTACAATTAGAAAAATTAAAATACTCATGAATTAAATGATGTCAGTACTAAAAAGCCTAAAACTTTATGACACCATCAAGAAATTATATCAATGTACCTTAATTTTTTTAAAAAGATTGGGAATGTTTTCATCGTCAAACGGGAGGGTCCCACAGAGAAGTGCATAGAGAATAACGCCGCAGCTCCACACGTCTACTTCAGGGCCAGCATATAATTTACCAGATATAACCTAACATATCATTTATTCTTTAGCATTCTAAAGAATACGTGTAGCTCAATATGACCGTTTGCTATATAATATAACCAAATTACCTCTGGAGCAGCATAATTGGGGCTTCCACAACTTGTCTTCAAGAAATGACCATCACGCATGATATTGCTCAAACCAAAATCAGCAATCTTCACATTATGCTTAGAATCCAAAAGTAAGTTTTCGGGTTTTAAATCTCGATGAACCACCATATTCCTGTGGCAGTATTCCACTCCAGATATGATCTGCAATCACACGCATTTGTGAATGCAGCGTAGAAAAAGAAAATGAAAAAGGAAAAAAATAATGGAAATATAAAATCCTACCTGTTGAAAAAACATACGAGCTTCCTCCTCATGTAACCTGCCCTTCTCCACTATATGATCAAATAACTCACCAGATTTCACATATTCCATCACAACGTATATGTCCGAATGTGTCTCCACAACCTCGTACAGACGTATGATGTGAGGATGCATGAACAATCTCAGAATTTTGATTTCTCTTCGAACTGCAAAAAGGAAATATATGGTTCTTTAATAAATTCTTAAGGTATAATATATACACTAGTAATGCTGCAAAGTAAGACTTCATATATAACACTAATGCTGTAAATAAACATTAAGCATCCAAATTACATAGACTGTCTAGAATATAGTATCTGCTTCACATATGACATTAATAAATGTTATATAAGCATGTAATACTGGTTTAGCTTTACCTTTTTCTTCCATGTCCATATTCTTTATTTTCTTACGGTTAAGGATCTTGACAGCAACTTTGTGCCCAGTCAATGCATGTTCAGCAACTTTGACTTTACCGAATGAACCAATTCCGAGAGTCTTCCCAAGCTTGTAGTTCCTCAAGAATGAATCTACACTACTAACATTCTGGATTGGCCCGTCCATTATCCTAAATTAGACATGAATGGAGAATAAATAGAGATCAGCATGTACGTGAATTAATTAATAACCGGAAAGGATAACATTGATAACACATGGAAAGATTTGACATGTAGCAAGTATTGAGCTTCAATAATAAATTTTCCAAATTCTTCGACACATCAAACAACCAACAGCCGTTGAAAGGGAGCCCACAAGGATAAATCAGGAAAAAAACGAGCATTGGTAATCACAACGGGTGAATTCTACGAGTACAGATTTATTTTGGCTGATCAAACGCATTTATTTGATCGATACAATTTTCACAAGCAAACAACACGTGGGGTTCTGATCGAAGAGAACAATGTCATTGAACGGTTAAACCCATTCAATAAATAACAAGTGGGTTCGAAACTTAACAGAGCAAGCAAAACCCACCCATCTGACAATCTAAGTTAAATTGTGCAAGATTGCCAGTTTTTCCCCGACCTATATAATTCCCCATCTCTAAACAAACAATCTGAAAAGTGAGACCACCAAAAAAATCCTAAATAACAGCTAAAAATCACGAAATAACTATCATGAACACATCTTGATTCTCTACCCAATATGGAACAACAACCCAAACCAACAAAAAATAAAAATAAAAAGAAACAAGAACCCTAAAGCTAGAGTCTTTCCACTCAACAANAAAAAAATCGCACCAGCTTTCCTCAATACAGATCCGTGAAACTCGTTCAAAGACAAAAATAAGAACAAAAAGCCCCAATGTTTACACCAACCCACAAAATCTTCAATTCAGAAAGAAGCAAATAAGAACAAGAAAAAGCGCCCGTGGCCCATTAAAAAATATGCAAAACCCACAGGAGCAAAGCTTACCCAAATGCAAAACGACGTCGCTTGCAAGAGCAACTCCTGAATCTTGATAAGCTGCCAAAGGTGTTACAGAAGAAAAAAAGATTGATGGGTTCGTGAGAAGGATAAACAGCTGAATTAAAAACCCAAATTTCCGGCGATTAGCATGTGTTCACCTCGATTGCCTCCTCCAATGCAGGTCGAGAGGAGCTGATGATGATGAAAACCAAGCGCCGAGACCCTTTTTCGTTTTTCGTATGCATACAAAACTTGTTTTTATTTGAGTTCGTTTTCTCCGTCCGAGCTGTCTTTAATTAATATGCTTACTTATTTGGTTAATTAAGTTAATTACTTTTTTTAATTACGTTTAATTTTAAACACAATTGGTATTGAAAATACGGTTACAGAAATGGAAGTTTAGTTGGGTGAGTGGGAAAAGATTAATCGGGATGAGGTTTGCAATTATTGATATGAAATCGTGGGGCTGAGATTAATTTTAGGTCAAGATGGCAAAGTATGCCCATAACTTAGATTACATGATAATTTTAGTAACCAAAATGTTCACTAACTAAACCAAATTGCCACCATTATAACCAAAAACGTGAATTAGTGGATTTTTTTTTTCTCATTTTTCGCAATCAGTTGCCAGATAGTTTTTGCATTTTTAAACATATTTTGCTCAATTTTTTTTATTTAATAGATATTTTCTATAATCGCAAAATTATTAAAAGTAAACATCTACCTAATTAAGTTATTGAGCGTATGTTCATAATGTTGCCTTCCTTTTAGCTTTACAAAATTTTTACTTCTTATTTTACAAAAAAAAAAGTTTGATATAATGCCATTGTTGACTGAAAACGATTCATTTTTGTAAACAAATAATGACGGAGAAAATAAAAATTAAGAATTTTAATAATAAAATAATATTTATATTATGATATGATTGAGGTTAGTGCATATAAATTTATTGAAATAACAATAAAAGTAATTTGTTATGAAGAATTTAAGGGTTTCATTGAAAAAAATATGTAGTAATTAATGATTATTTAATGTTAGTAAAATAATGACAAAAGTAATTAGTTATTCAAAATGTAAGGGTTTCATTGCACACTATATAGTAATGAATGATTATTTTTTTGTTTTCATTGAAAACAAAAAATTAAAATGAATGATCATAAAAATAAAAATTGTAACAAGTCATAACTGAAAAAACGTATATAAAAATAAAAATATTACAAAAATAACTATTATTCTATCTTTCTTTCAACATACTTTTTACTTATAATGGTTGTTTGTATTAAATAAAACTTATGTGAAAAATATATTACAATAACTACTTTCAATAAGCATCTCGATGTAACATGTTACACTCTTGATTGTATGGGTCAACTGGGCGCACCATCCCTTAATGCGTCTAGGTAATAGGCACTGGCCGAATGTGTGGTGCTGGAGTCAGTAGAGGAATGCACCAAAGTTTTGGAGCTTCCAAATTATTTTTGGCGAGGTGGTCGAGTTATAAGAGATAATTGGCACATTTTTTGGCTAAATGGAGGTTCAATTCATGTGATTTTGACGAATGAGTGCCAAAAAGCCCCTTTATGAGGTGAGTATACCTCAAGATGAGCTTGACCATGTGCGAGACACATGGATGATGCGTTGTGACCATGAGGTAAGTATACTCGTTTGAGCGTTCAGTGCTCAAGTGAATTTGACAATTTGATGACGGTTGTGCACGAGACTGAGCTAAGCCTTATGCGAATGTAGGCTCAATTGGTTAGCTAATGGCGGTTTGAGATTATGACATTACTTAGTTGAGGGTGGACTTCAGTTGAGGCGCAAATGATTGCACGAGCGATAAATGAATTTCACATCCAAGCATATGTGGGATTTCAATAGAGGGTGTGGGGATGGCATATACTTAATTAAACGATTATCTAGTTTATTATGGCCTTTAGGCAATTTTTGTCCCTTTGAGATGGTTCGACTTCGTTTCGAGGACAGTTGGTTGAGTTGGCTTCGCAGGCAAAAGTGGCACAAGATGGAAGCGGTTATGAGAAACTAGCATTCGGTTGCTTGCAAGGTCAGCATTGTAAGGTCAAAAATAATAGTGACAACATGAATAAGGCTGACGCCATTGAATTGGAACATAGTAGTAGTGAGACAACGTGAATAAGGCCAAAAGTGCTACTGCCAATTGAAAATTAGGGGTGACATTTTATATCGATAATCAGAAAACCAAATCGGAGCGAACCGAAAATAACCGATTTAGTTTGGTTATTAAAAAAATGTCTATACATGTGCAATATACATGTTTATATGCTTATGTATATGAATCATTCCGACTCTTGGTGTATGATATTCGATTCTTCATTTCAATTTTCGGCTTTTGTGATATTTTTAGTACATGAGTTGTAAATTTGTGACTGGTTCTTAACATAAAATCGTTATTGTTGGTTATTTTTTCATAATTCGGTTACCTAGAACCTGGTCAACCCAATCGTTATAACACGGTTCAGTTCTTTTTCGGTTCTTGCAATTTTTTGTGTGTTAACCAAACTGGTTATTTTGTTTCGATTCCAATTCCGATTCCTGAAAAACTGCTAGGAATCGGACCAGTTCTAGGCCGAGTGACAATAGATTAATTGTGAAAACGCAAGATAGCTTGAAATATGACATGAATGTAAGTTGGATCCTGGATCGCATGTGTGCAAATTGTGACATTTATTTTTAAAGAAAACACCCAGATATGTAAGAGATTAAGGCCGAATCACCAACATGTATATAGTCAAGACCTTAAATGGGCAAAAAAAAATCACAAGTCTACATATGTTCAAACATAATCCAAAATAAGAAACAAGAAAAGGAAAAAACAGCAGCCAAAACGGAAAGAATGAACTTGGGTTGCAGGTGCTCAGACTAACAATTTACTCCACAAAGTGGGTTGTAGCAAAAAAAATACAGGACGGTTACTAGAACCTAAACGATGAGTAGTCAACCTAGTCCATCCTTACAAGAGTACGAAGGTGGAAGAGAAGGTCATCTAGATTGAGTAATTATTTCATTGTACGATTGAGTAATTATAGTCCATCGATTAGACTTTGTTCCACACTCGTTAAGCGGGTTGGATTTTTGCCTATCGAGTTATCTATGCGACATAATGTATAATGGTTGTCATGTAATGTGGCCCAAGGACTTTTGACCGAATTTTCAACCACAATTTTGGGTTTGGAGGCTTTTAAAAAATAGGTAAACCATCATATGGAGAAAACTAATAAGCCCAAATCTTTACCCATTAGTAAAATGTGAAGTTGTCGGACAAGACGACACTTATTTCTAAATAGCAGTAACATTCTATTATTAGAATCTTTATTTTAAGAAATTATATTTTGATAGGAACCACAAAGACAAATTTGTGAAATAAAATTAGTGGTTTTTCGTGTGATTTGATATGATTTTTTCCCCAAGTTTTAACTAGCTGGATAAGAGAAATGCAGAAAGTAAAAAATTGACACTGACAAATATATATATATATAGGGATTGGTTCCAATGCATCCCATTATTTAAACTGAGAATGTGAGACTCATTCCTAGCCACAAGATTTAGATCTTGATTTAAATAATAATTTTTTATTTTTATTATTTAATTCTTTATTTTTAATTATTTAAATATTATTATGACCATTGACCGTTGACTCCGGCGTTGACCGTTGACTTCCGGCGTTGACTTCCGGCGAAAATCGTTGACTTCCGGCGTTGACCGTTGACTCCGGCGTTGACTTCCGACGTTGACCGTTGACCATTTGTTTTTTGTTATGTTATTTCTTTCTTGTTAGGTTAGTTGTGTCTTGTTGCTAGGTTAGTTGTTTGCTGTTGCTAGGTTAGTTATTTGTAGCTGCTATGTTAGTTGAGTTTTGTTGCTAGGTTATTTTTTTCTTGCTGCTAGGTTAGTTGTCTTTTGTTGCTAGGTTAGTTCTTTCTTGCTGCTAGGTTAGTTGTCTGATGCTGCTAGGTTAGTTGTCTTTTGTTGCTAGGTTATTTCTTTCTTGCTGCTAGGTTAGTTGTCTTTTGTTGCTAGGTTATTTCTTTCTTACTGCTAGGCTAGTTGTTTGATGCTGCTAGGTTAGTTGTCTTAAGTTGCTAGGTTAGTTATCTGTAGTTGCTAGGTTAGTTGTCTTTTGTTGCTAGGTTAGTTCTTTCTTGCTGCTAGGTTAGTTGTCTGATGCTGCTAGGTTAGTTGTCTTTTGTTGCTAGGTTATTTCTTTCTTGCTGCTAGGTTAGTTGTCTTTTGTTGCTAGGTTATTTCTTTCTTGCTGCTAGGTTAGTTGTCTTTTGTTGCTAGGTTATTTCTTTCTTGCTGCTAGGTTAGTTGTCTTTTGTTGCTAGGTTATTTCTTTCTTGCTGCTAGGTTAGTTGTCTTTTGTTGCTAGGTTATTTCTTTCTTGCTGCTAGGTTAGTTGTCTTTTGTTGCTAGGTTATTTCTTTCTTGCTGCTAGGTTAGTTGTCTTTTGTTGCTAGGTTATTTCTTTCTTGCTGCTAGGTTAGTTGTCTTTTGTTGCTAGGTTATTTCTTTCTTGCTGCTAGGTTAGTTGTCTTTTGTTGCTAGGTTATTTCTTTCTTGCTGCTAGGTTAGTTGTCTTTTGTTGCTAGGTTATTTCTTTCTTGCTGCTAGGTTAGTTGTCTTTTGTTGCTAGGTTATTTCTTTCTTGCTGCTAGGTTAGTTGTCTTTTGTTGCTAGGTTATTTCTTTCTTGCTGCTAGGTTAGTTGTCTTTTGTTGCTAGGTTATTTCTTTCTTGCTGCTAGGTTAGTTGTCTTTTGTTGCTAGGTTATTTCTTTCTTGCTGCTAGGTTAGTTGTCTTTTGTTGCTAGGTTATTTCTTTCTTGCTGCTAGGTTAGTTGTCTTTTGTTGCTAGGTTATTTCTTTCTTGCTGCTAGGTTAGTTGTCTTTTGTTGCTAGGTTATTTCTTTCTTGCTGCTAGGTTAGTTGTCTTTTGTTGCTAGGTTATTTCTTTCTTGCTGCTAGGTTAGTTGTCTTTTGTTGCTAGGTTATTTCTTTCTTGCTGCTAGGTTAGTTGTCTTTTGTTGCTAGGTTAGTTCTTTCTTGCTGCTAGGTTAGTTGTGTTTTGTTGCAAGTTAGTTGTGTTTTGTTGCTAGGTTAGTTTTTCTTTCTTGTTGCTAGGTTAGTTGTGTTTTGTTGCTAGGTTAGTTTTTCTTGCTAGGTTAGTTGTGTTTTGTTGCTTGGTTAGTTGTCTTTGTTGCTAGTTTAGTTGTTCTTTCTTGCTGCTAGGTTAGTTGTGTTTTGTTGCTAGGTTAGTTGTCTGATGCTGCTAAGTTAGTTGTGTTTTGTTGCTAGGTTAGTTGTCTGATGTTGCTAAGTTAGTTGTATTTTTTTTTTATAAAAAAATTGTAACCCATAGGATTTGAACCTGGTATCTCATGGAGGTAAGACAAGCAATGCAACCACTACACCACTCAAGGTT